GCCTGGTCTACAGGACGTCGTGGGTTCGATCCCGGATCCTGAGAGATGTTGACTACCTCGCCTGGTACGCAGGAGGTTGTGGGTTCGATCCCGGACCCTGTGAGATGTTGACTACCTCGCCTGGTCTACAGGAGGTCGTAGGTTCAATCCCAGACCCTGAGAAACGTTGACTACCTCGCCTGGTATACAGGAGGTCGTGGGTTCGATCCCAGACCCTGCGAGATGTTGACTACCTCGCCTGGTATACAGGAGGTCGTGGGTTCGATCCCGGATCCTGAGAGATGTTGACTACCTCGCCTGGTCTACAGGAGGTCGTGGGTTCGATCCCAGACCCTGCGAGATGTTGACTACCTCGCCTGGTACGCAGGAGGTCGTGGGTTCGATCGCGGACCATGAGATGTTGACTACCTCGCCTGGTCTACAGGAGGTCGTGGGTTCGATCCCGGATCCTGAGAGATGTTGACTACCTCGCCTGGTCTACAGGAGGTCGTGGGTTCGATCGCGGACCCTGAGAGATGTGGACTACCTCGCCTGGTCTACAGGAGGTCGTGGGTTCGATCCCAGATCTGTAAGATGTTGACTTCCTCGCCTGGTACGCGGGAGGTCGTGGGTTCGATCCCAGACCCTGAGAGATGTTGACTACCTCGCCTGGTACGCGGGAGGTCGTGGGTTCGATCCCGGACCCTGTGAAGTTTTAACTACCTCGCCTGGTCTACAGGAGGTCGTGGGTTCGATCCCGGGCCCTGTGAGATGTTGACTACCTTGCCTGGTCTACAGGAGGTCGTGGGTTCGATCCCGGACCCTGTGAGATGTTGACTACTTTGCCTGGTCTGCAGGAGGTCGTGGGTTCGATCCCGGACCCTGTGAGATGTTGACTACTTTGCCTGGTCTGCAGGAGGTCGTGGGTTCGATCCCGGACCCTGAGAGATGTTGATTACCTCGCTTCGTACGCAGGAGGTCGTGGGTTCAATCCCGGACCCTGTGAGATGTTGACTACCTCGCTTGGTCTACAGGAGGTCGCGGGGTCGATCCCGGACCCTGTGAGATGTTGACTACCTCGCCTGGTATGCAGGAGGTCGTGGGTTCGATCGCGGACCCTGTGAGATGTTGACTACCTCGCCTGGTCTACAGGAGGTCGTGGGTTCGATCGCAGACCGTGAGATGTTGACGACCTCGCCTGGTATGCAGGAGGTCGCGGGTTCGATCCCAGATCCAGACGATGCCTGCTGCTGCTGTAGAGTTGGAGTCTGCGTCTCTCTCTTTGCGTCTCTCTCTGTGTCTCTCTCTCTGTGTCTCTCTCTGTGTCTCTCTCTGTGTCTCTGTGTCTCTCTCTGTGTCTCTCTCCCCGTGGTGGTCGCTGCGTTGATTTGTCTCCGGATACTCCTCTCAAATTCCGCGTTTACGATCAACATCAGCCACTCGCTCACATCATTCGGATGCGACCATCCATTCACACGTGGCCTGCGTGGAGGGTGGGGGGGTGGGGGGGGGATGTGACGTCACGTCAAGGGTGTGACGTCACGTCAAGGGTGTGACGTCACGTCAATGATGCGACGTCACATGAAGGATGCGAGGTCACATCAAGGGTGCGACGTCACATGACGGATGTGGCGTCACATGACGGATGTGGCGTCACGTCAAGGATGTGACGTCACGTCAAGGATGTGACGTCACATGAAGGGTGTGACGTCACATGAAGGATGTGGCGTCACATGAAGGGTGTGACGTCACGTCAAGGATGTGACGTCGCGTGAAGGATGTGACGTCACCGCTCACTTGCCGTGCAAAATATTATATCCATTATTGCCCTCCTCCCCACCCCCCAAAATACAAAAGTCTATTTTTATACTTTCTGCATCGTGTACAGTCTGGAAACTACACACGCGGCAAATTTCAAGTTTGTTGCATGTTCGGGAAGTACGCTAAACATCTGGAACAGACTTACCTAGAATTCCACCCCCATCAATGTGACACGATTGGTACAACCCCCCCCCCCCCCCCCCCACGTGTCATAGACTTACCTAGAGTTCCCCCCCATCAATGTGACACGAATGGTACAACCCCCCCCCCACCTCTCATAGACTTACCTAGAGTTCCCCCCCCATCAATGTGACACGAATGGTACAACCCACCCCCCCCCCCCGTCTCATAGACTTACCTAGAGTTCCCCCCCCATCAATGTGACACGAATGGTACAACCCACCCCCCCCCCCATCAATGTGACACGAATGGTACAACCCACCCCCCCCCCCACCTCTCATAGTCTCATAGACTTACCTAGAATTCCCCCCCCATCAATGTGACACGAATGGTACAACCCACCCCACCCCCCCCCCCCCCCCCGTCTCATAGACTTACCTAGAGTTCCACCCCCATCAATGTGACACGAATGGTACAACCCACCCCCCCCCCCCCACCTCTCATAGACTTACCTAGAATTCCCCCCCCATCAATGTGACACGAATGGTACAACCCACCCCACCCCCCCCCCCCCCCCCCCCCGTCTCATAGACTTACCTAGAGTTCCACCCCCATCAATGTGACACGAATGGTACACCCCACCCCCCACCCATCAATGTGACACTAATGGTACACCCCCCCCCCTCTCATAGACTTACCTAGAGTTCCCCCCCCCCATCAATGTGACACGATTGGTACAACCCACCCCCCCCCCCCGTCTCTCATAGACTTACCTAGAATTCCACCCCCATCAATGTGACACGAATGGTACAACCCCCCCCCCCCCCCCACCCACCTCTCATAGACTTACCTAGAGTTCCACCCCCATCAATGTGACACGAATGGTACAACCCACCCCCCCCACCTCTCATAGACTTACCTAGAGTTCCCCCCCCATCAATGTGACACGATTGGTACAACCCACCCCCCCCCCACACCTCTCATAGACTTACCTAGAGTTCCACCCCCATCAATGTGACACGAATGGTACAACCCACCCCCCCCCCCACCCACCTCTCATAGACTTACCTAGAGTTCCACCCCCATCAATGTGACACGAATGGTACAACCCACCCCCCCCACCCACCTCTCATAGACTTACCTAGAGTTCCACCCCCATCAATGTGACACGATTGGTACAACCCACCCCCCCCCCCCCACACCTCTCATAGACTTACCTAGAGTTCCACCCCCATCAATGTGACACGAATGGTACAACCCACCCCCCCCCCACCCACCTCTCATAGACTTACCTAGAGTTCCACCCCCATCAATGTGACACGAATGGTATAACCCACCCCACCCCCCCCCCCACCTCTCATAGACTTACCTAGAGTTCCCCCCCATCAATGTGACACGAATGGTACACCCCCCCCCCCCCCCCCCCACCTCTCATAGACTTAGCTAGAGTTCCACCCCCATCAATGTGACACGATTGGTACAACCCACCCCCCCCCCCCACGTGTCATAGACTTACCTAGAGTTCCCCCCCCATCAATGTGACACGAATGGTACAACCCACCCCCCCCCCCCCACCTCTCATAGTCTCATAGACTTACCTAGAATTCCCCCCCCATCAATGTGACACGAATGGTACAACCCACCCCACCCCCCCCGTCTCATAGACTTACCTAGAGTTCCACCCCCATCAATGTGACACGAATGGTACAACCCACCCCCCCCCACCTCTCATAGACTTACCTAGAATTCCCCCCCCATCAATGTGACACGAATGGTACAACCCACCCCACCCCCCCCCCCCCCCCCCCCCCCCCCCCCGTCTCATAGACTTACCTAGAGTTCCACCCCCATCAATGTGACACGAATGGTACACCCCACCCCCCACCCATCAATGTGACACTAATGGTACACCCCCCCCCCCTCTCATAGACTTACCTAGAGTTCCCCCCCCCCATCAATGTGACACGATTGGTACAACCCACCCCCCCCCCGTCTCTCATAGACTTACCTAGAATTCCACCCCCATCAATGTGACACGAATGGTACAACCCCCCCCCCCCCCCCCACCTCTCATAGACTTACCTAGAGTTCCACCCCCATCAATGTGACACGAATGGTACAACCCACCCCCCCCACCTCTCATAGACTTACCTAGAGTTCCACCCCCATCAATGTGACACGAATGGTACAACCCACCCCCCCCCCCCACCTCTCATAGACTTACCTAGAATTCCCCCCCCATCAATGTGACACGAATGGTACAACCCACCCCACCCCCCCCCCCGTCTCGTAGACTTACCTAGAGTTCCACCCCCATCAATGTGACACGAATGGTACAACCCACCCCCCCCCCCCCCACCTCTCATAGACTTACCTAGAATTCCCCCCCCATCAATGTGACACGAATGGTACAACCCACCCCACCCCCCCCCTCCCCCCCGTCTCATAGACTTACCTAGAGTTCCACCCCCATCAATGTGACACGAATGGTACACCCCACCCCCCACCCATCAATGTGACACTAATGGTACACCCCCCCCCGTCTCATAGACTTACCTAGAGTTCCACCCCCATCAATGTGACACGAATGGTACAACCCACCCCCCCCCCCCCCACCCACCTCTCATAGACTTACCTAGAATTCCACCCCCATCAATGTGACACGAATGGTACACCCCACCCCCCACCCATCAATGTGACACTAATGGTACACCCCCCCCCCTCTCATAGACTTACCTAGAGTTCCACCCCCATCAATGTGACACGAATGGTACAACCCCCCCCCCCCACCCACCTCTCATAGACTTACCTAGAATTCCACCCCCATCAATGTGACACGAATGGTACACCCCACCCCCCACCCATCAATGTGACACTAATGGTACACCCCCCCCCCTCTCATAGACTTACCTAGAGTTCCCCCCCCCCCATCAATGTGACACGATTGGTACAACCCACCCCCCCCCCCCGTCTCTCATAGACTTACCTAGAATTCCACCCCCATCAATGTGACACGAATGGTACAACCCACCCCCCCCCCCCCCACCCACCTCTCATAGACTTACCTAGAGTTCCACCCCCATCAATGTGACACGAATGGTACAACCCACCCCCCCCCCCCGTCTCATAGACTTACCTAGAGTTCCCCCCCCATCAATGTGACACGATTGGTACACCCCCCCCCCCCCCCCACCCACCTCTCATAGACTTACCTAGAGTTCCACCCCCATCAATGTGACACGATTGGTACAACCCACCCCACCCCCCCCCCTCTCATAGACTTACCTAGAGTTCCCCCCCCATCAATGTGACACGATTGGTACAACCCACCCCCCCCCCCCCGTCTCATAGACTTACCTAGAGTTCCCCCCCCTTCAATGTGACACGATTGGTACAACCCCCCCCCCCGTCTCATAGACTTACCTAGAGTTCCACCCCCATCAATGTGACACGAATGGTACAACCCACCCCACCCCCCACCCATCAATGTGACACTAATGGTACACCCCCCCCCCCTCTCATAGACTTACCTAGAGTTCCACCCCCATCAATGTGACACGAATGGTACACCCCACCCCCCACCAATCACTGCAACACGAATGCCACAACCCACAAACCCACTTCTCTCCATTGACTTAACCCTTCACCCCCCACCCACCCACCCTCCCCACCTCCCCACCCTCCCCCCCACAGCGTTGGGCTGTACCAACGAGAACGACGAGGGGGGGGCCGACCTGCAGGGCAGCCGAGACGGAGCGGCATCATCCTTCCAGAGTTCGTCGCAGAAGTCGAAACGGATGCGGACGTCGTTCAAGCACCACCAGCTGCGCACCATGAAGTCCTACTTCGCACTCAACCACAACCCCGACGCCAAAGACCTGAAACAGCTCGCACAGAAGACGGGGCTCACCAAGCGCGTCCTGCAGGTGAGGGTCGTGGTGGTCGTGGTGGTGGTCGTGGTCATTGTGGTCTTCACGACGGTGGTGATGATGAGATGCAATCATCCTGATGATGCTGATGATGATGATCATCCTGATGATGATGAGATGCAATCATCCTGATGATGCTGAGCAATCATCCTGATGATGAGATGCAATCATCCTGATGATGCTGAGCAATCATCCTGATGATGAGATGCAATCATCCTGATGATGATGAGATGCAATCATCCTGATGATGAGATGCAATCATCCTGATGATGAGATGCAATCATCCTGATGATGATGATGATGATGATCATCCTGATGATGATGAGATGCAATCATCCTGATGATGCTGAGCAATCATCCTGATGATGAGATGCAATCATCCTCCTGATGATGTTGAGATGCAATCATCATGATGATGATGAGATGCAATCATCCTGATGATGATGAGATGCAATCATCCTGATGATGAGATGCAATCATCCTGATGATGTTGAGATGCAATCATCCTGATGATGATGAGATGCAATCATCCTGATGATGATGAGATGCAATCATCCTGATGATGAGATGCAATCATCCTGATGATGAGATGCAATCATCCTGATGACGATGAGATGCAATCATCCTGATGATGAGATGCAATCATCCTGATGATGTTGAGATGCAATCATCCTGATGATGATGAGATGCAATCATCCTGATGATGATGAGATGCAATCATCCTGATGATGAGATGCAATCATCCTGATGATGAGATGCAATCATCCTGATGATGATGATGATGATGATCATCCTGATGATGATGAGATGCAATCATCCTGATGATGCTGAGCAATCATCCTGATGATGAGATGCAATCATCCTCCTGATGATGTTGAGATGCAATCATCATGATGATGATGAGATGCAATCATCCTGATGATGATGAGATGCAATCATCCTGATGATGAGATGGAATCATCCTGATGATGTTGAGATGCAATCATCCTGATGATGATGAGATGCAATCATCCTGATGATGATGAGATGCAATCATCCTGATGATGAGATGCAATCATTCTGATGATGAGATGCAATCATCCTCCTGATGATGATGAGATGCAATCATCCTGATGATGATGAGATGCAATCATCCTGATGATGAGATGCAATCATCCTGATGATGAGATGCAATCATCCTGATGATGATGATGATCATCATCATCATCCTGATGATGATGAGATGCAATCATCCTGATGATGCTGAGCAATCATCCTGATGATGTTGAGATGCAATCATCCTGATGATGAGATGCAATCATCCTGATGATGCTGAGCAATCATCCTGATGATGAGATGCAATCATCCTGATGATGTTGAGATGCAATCATCATGATGATGATGAGATGCAATCATCCTGATGATGAGATGCAATCATCCTCCTGATGATGATGAGATGCAATCATCCTGATGATGTTGAGATGCAATCATCATGATGATGATGAGATGCAATCATCCTGATGATGATGAGATGCAATCATCCTGATGATGAGATGCAATCATCCTCCTGATGATGATGAGATGCAATCATCCTGATGATGAGATGCAATCATTCTGATGATGAGATGCAATCATCCTCCTGATGATGATGAGATGCAATCATCCTGATGATGATGAGATGCAATCATCCTGATGATGAGATGCAATCATCCTGATGATGAGATGCAATCATCCTGATGATGATGATGATCATCATCATCATCCTGATGATGATGAGATGCAATCATCCTGATGATGCTGAGCAATCATCCTGATGATGTTGAGATGCAATCATCCTGATGATGAGATGCAATCATCCTGATGATGATGATGATCATCATCATCATCCTGATGATGATGAGATGCAATCATCCTGATGATGCTGAGCAATCATCCTGATGATGTTGAGATGCAATCATCCTGATGATGAGATGCAATCATCCTCCTGATGATGATGAGATGCAATCATCCTCCTGATGATGATGAGATGCAATCATCCTGATGATGATGAGATGCAATCATCCTGATGATGATGAGATGCAATCATCCTGATGATGATGAGATGCAATCATCCTGATGATGATGAGATGCAATCATCCTGATGATGATGTTGAGATGCAATCATCCTGATGATGATGTTGAGATGCAATCATCCTGATGATGATGAGATGCAATCATCCTGATGATGATGTTGAGATGCAATCATCCTCCTGATGATGATGAGATGCAATCATCCTGATGATGATGTTGAGATGCAATCATCCTCCTGATGATGATGAGATGCAATCATCCTGATGATGATGTTGAGATGCAATCATCCTCCTGATGATGATGAGATGCAATCATCCTGATGATGTTGAGATGCAATCATCCTGATGATGATGAGATGCAATCATCCTGATGATGATGAGATGCAATCATCCTGATGATGAGATGCAATCATCCTCCTGATGATGATGAGATGCAATCATCCTGATGATGATGAGATGCAATCATCCTGATGATGATGAGATGCAATCATCCTGATGATGCTGATGATGCTGATCACCATCCTGATGATGAGATGCAATCATCCTGATGATGATGATGTTGAGATGCAATCATCCTGATGATGATGAGATGCAATCATCCTGATGATGATGAGATGCAATCATCCTGATGATGATGAGATGCAATCATCCTGATGATGAGATGCAATCATCCTCCTGATGATGATGAGATGCAATCATCCTGATGATGATGAGATGCAATCATCCTGATGATGTTGAGATGCAATCATCCTGATGATGATGATGAGATGCAATCATCCTGATGATGTTGAGATGCAATCATCCTGATGATGATGAGATGCAATCATCCTGATGATGCTGATGATGCTGATCACCATCCTGATGATGAGATGCAATCATCCTGATGATGATGATGTTGAGATGCAATCATCCTGATGATGATGAGATGCAATCATCCTGATGATGAGATGCAATCATCCTCCTGATGATGATGAGATGCAATCATCCTGATGATGTTGAGATGCAATCATCCTGATGATGATGAGATGCAATCATCCTGATGATGATGAGATGCAATCATCCTGATGATGAGATGCAATCATCCTCCTGATGATGATGAGATGCAATCATCCTGATGATGATGAGATGCAATCATCCTGATGATGCTGATGATGCTGATCACCATCCTGATGATGAGATGCAATCATCCTGATGATGATGATGTTGAGATGCAATCATCCTGATGATGATGAGATGCAATCATCCTGATGATGATGAGATGCAATCATCCTGATGATGAGATGCAATCATCCTCCTGATGATGATGAGATGCAATCATCCTGATGATGATGAGATGCAATCATCCTGATGATGTTGAGATGCAATCATCCTGATGATGATGAGATGCAATCATCCTGATGATGAGATGCAATCATCCTCCTGATGATGATGAGATGCAATCATCCTGATGATGATGAGATGCAATCATCCTGATGATGTTGAGATGCAATCATCCTGATGATGATGAGATGCAATCATCCTGATGATGATGATGAGATGCAATCATCCTGATGATGATGAGATGCAATCATCCTGATGATGATGAGATGCAATCATCCTCCTGATGATGTTGAGATGCAATCATCATGATGATGATGAGATGCAATCATCCTGATGATGAGATGCAATCATCCTGATGATGAGATGCAATCATCCTCCTGATGATGTTGAGATGCAATCATCATGATGATGATGAGATGCAATCATCCTGATGATGATGAGATGCAATCATCCTGATGATGAGATGCAATCATCCTCCTGATGATGATGAGATGCAATCATCCTGATGATGAGATGCAATCATCCTCCTGATGATGATGAGATGCAATCATCCTGATGATGATGAGATGCAATCATCCTGATGATGAGATGCAATCATCCTGGTGATGATGAGATGCAATCATCCTGATGATGCTGATCACCATCCTGATGCTGATCATGATGATCAACACGACGACGATGATGACCCTAATGATCATCATCCTCACACTCATGGTATGGGGTGGTGGTGAGCGTGGTGGTGGTGAGCGTGATGGTGGTGAGCGTGGTGGTGGTGGTGGTAAGCGTGGTAGTGGTGGTGGTGATGGTGAGCGTTGTGGTGAGCGTGGTGGTAATGGTGCTAATCGTGGTGGTTGTGGTGATGGTGGTGGTGATGGTAAGCGTAGTGGTGGTGATGGTAAGCATGGTAGTGGTGGTGGTGATGGTGGTGGTGATGAGCGTGGTGGTGAGCAGAGATCCAGGCGGTACTGGTCCAGCTCCCGACATCGTGGTGGTGGTGATGGTAAGCATGGTAGTGGTGGTGGTGGTGATGGTAAGCGTGGTGGCAGTGGTTGCAGATGAGCGTGGTGGTGGTGGTGGTGGTGAGCGTGGTGGTGGTGCAAATGAGCGTGGTGGTGGTGGTGGTGTTGGTGGTGATGGTGGTAATCGTGGTGGTGGTGATGGTGGTGATGGTGGTTATGGCAATGGTGTTGATGGCAAGCGTGGTGGTGGTGGTGATGATGGTAAGCGTGGTGGTGAGCGTGGTGTTAATCGTGGTGATGGTGGTGGTGGTGATGGTGGTGATGGTGGTTATGGCAATGGTGGTGATGGCAAGCGTGGTCCTGCAACATCAACCTCTGCTGCCTCCGTGTGGTGATATACCGGACGTCGGTAACGCCACTGTGGTGCTCAATGCGATGGGAAAGCGAGGGAGGGGCGGAATGTTGTCTATGACATCTCCTGGTACAAATCCCACTTCTGCAGGAAGCCCAGGAGACTGAGGCCCCCCCGTAAACTCCCTCCGGGGTTGACTTCAGAAGACGGCAGAGGTCGCAAACGGGTTTTGATTCCTTACCCGTACCCGGCCGCACCAGGGTCGCAAACGGGTACCCGTACCCGGCCGTACCCGTACCCTACCCGTACCCGTCCGGTTACGGGTAGGGTACGGGTATCAAGTACCCGATTGCGACCTCTGGGATGAAGCCATGTTGCAGGCGCGGGTGGGTTGATTCTAGGAACTTGAATTGTGAGAAGAGACAAGACGTTGGGAAATGAGTGACAAACGGTGACTCACCAGTGACTCACGGCCTACCCGTACCCGTACCCGGCCGCACCAGGTAGAGTACGGGTATCGGGTACCCGGTTGCGACCTCTGGAAGACGGCAAAAACAAAAACAAGCCACAGCGAGTTTGCCTGCAGGCGTCATTTGAACGCTCGTTGTGGAGGAACGGAGAGGCTGATAATTTCCCGTCGGGAGTTGGACCGGTACTGCCTGGAACCTCTGCGGCATTCAGGAGGTCCGGTGGACTGGTTCTCGTGTATGTGGGTGTGTCGAGGAAAGGCTGCCACTTCTCTGTCGGGAGCTGGACCGGTACCGCCCGGATTTCTGTGGCATTCAGGAGGCCCTGTGGACTGGTTCTCGTGTGTGTGTGCAGAGGAAAGGCTGCCACTCCTCTGTCGGGAGCTGGACCGGTACCGCCTAGATCTCTGTGGCATTCAGGAGGTCCTGTGGACTAGGTCTGGTGTCTGTGTGTGTAGAGGAGAGGCTGCCACTTCTCTGTCGGGAGCTGGACCGGTACCGCCTGGATCTCTGTGGCATTCAGGAGGTCCTGTGGACTGGTTCTGCTGTATGTGTGTGCGGAGGAGAGGCTGCCACTCCTCTGTCGGGAGCTGGACCGGTACCGCCTGGATCTGTGTGTTATTCAGGAGGTCTGGTGGACTGGTTCTGGTGTCTGTGTGTGCAGAGGAGAGGCTGCCACTCCTCTGTCGGGAGCTGGACCAGTACCGCCTGGATCTCTGTGGCATTCAGGAGGTCCGGTGGACTGGTTCTTGTGTGTGTGGGCGTGTAGAGGAAAGGCTGCCACTCCTCTGTCTGGAGCTGGACCGGTACCGCCTGGATCTCTGTGGCATTCAGGAGGTCATGTGGACTGGTTCTGCTGTATGTGTGTGCGGATAAGAGGCTACCACTCCTCTGTCGGGAGCTGGACCGGTACCGCCTGGATCTCTGGTATTCAGGAGGTCCGGTGGACTGGTTCTCGTGTCTGTGTGTGCAGAGGAGAGGCTGCCACTCCTCTGTCGGGAGCTGGACCAGTACCGCCTGGATCTCTGCGGCATTCAGGAGGTCCGGTGGGCTGGTTCTTGTGTGTGTGGGCGTGTAGAGGAAAGGCTGCCACTCCTCTGTCTGGAGCTGGACCGGTACCGCCTGGATCTCTGTGGCATTCAGGAGGTCATGTGGACTGGTTCTGCTGTATGTGTGTGCGGATAAGAGGCTACCACTCCTCTGTCGGGAGCTGGACCGGTACCGCCTGGATCTCTGGTATTCAGGAGTTCCGGTGGACTGGTTCTCGTGTCTGTGTGTGCAGAGGAGAGGCTGCCACTCCTCTGTCGGGAGCTGGACCAGTACCGCCTGGATCTCTGCGGCATTCAGGAGGTCCGGTGGGCTGGTTCTTGTGTGTTTGGGCGTGTAGAGGAAAGGCTGCCACTCCTCTGTCTCGAGCTGGACCGGTACCGCCTGGATCTCTGTGGCATTCAGGAGGTCCTGTGGACTGGTTCTGCTGTATGTGTGTGCGGATAAGAGGCTACCACTCCTCTGTCGGGAGCTGGACCGGTACCGCCTGGATCTCTGGTATTCAGGAGGTCCGGTGGACTGGTTCTCGTGTCTGTGTGTGCAGAGGAGAGGCTGCCACTCCTCTGTCGGGAGCTGGACCAGTACCGCCTGGATCTCTGCGGCATTCAGGAGGTCCGGTGGGCTGGTTCTTGTGTGTGTGGGCGTGTAGAGGAAAGGCTGCCACTCCTCTGTCTGGAGCTGGACCGGTACCGCCTGGATCTCTGTGGCATTCAGGGGGTCCGGTGGACTGGTTCTTGTGTGTGTGTGTAGAGGAAAGGCTGCCACTCCTCTGTCGGGAGCTGGACCGGTACCGCCTGGATCTTTGTGATATGCAGGAGGTCCGGTGGACTGGTGGTTGATTGTTGGTTTTTTTTGTGGTTTATTTTTGACGGTTTATTTTTGACGGTTTATGTTTGATGGTGGATTGGTGCTTGATTTGTGGTTTATTGATGGTTTATTAGCGGTTTATGTTTGGTGGTTTATGTTTGGTGGTTGATTGGTGGTGTATTGGTTGTTTTTGGCGGTTTATTGGTGCTTGATTGGCGGTTTCTGTTTGACGGTTTACGCTTGGTGGTTGATTGGTGATCTATTGGTGGTTGATTGGTGGTTTATTGATGGTTTATTGGCAGTTTTTGTTTGGTGGTTTATGTGTCGTGGTTTATTGGCGGTTTATTGGTGCTTGATTGGTGGTTTATTGGTTGTTTTTGGCGGTTTATGTTTGGTGGTTTATGTTTTGTGGTTTTTGTTTGGTGGTTGATTGGTGGTGTATTGGTTGTTTTTGGCGGTTTATTGGTGCTTGATTGGTGGTTTAATTGATGGTTTATTGGCGGTTTCTGTTTGATGGTTGATTGGTGATTTATTGGTGTTTTATTGGAAGTTTAAGTTTGATGGTTTTATGTTTGGCGGTTGTTTGATGGTTTATTGGTGCTTTATTGATGGTTTATTGGCGGTTTATTAGTGCTTTATTGGCAGTTTGATGTTTGACAGTTTGATGTTTGACAGTTTGATGTTTGACAGTTTGATGTTTGGCGGTTGTTTGGTGTTTTAATGGTGTTTTATTGGCGGTTTAATGTTTGACGGTTTACGTTTGGCGGTTGTTTGGTGGTTTATTGGTGTTTATTGATGTTTTATTGATGTTTATTGATATGTTATGGATATTTTATTGGTGTTTTATTGGCGGTTTGATGTTTGACGGTTTGATGTTTGGTGGTTTATTGATGTTTTATTGATGTTTTATTGGTGATTTATTGGTATTTTATTGATATTTTATTGGTGTTTTAATTGATGTTTATTGATGTTTTATTGATGTTTTATTGGTGTTTTAATTGATGTTTATTGATGTTTTATTGATATTTTATTGGTGTTTTAATTGATGTTTATTGATGTTTTATTGATTGTTTGTTGATTGATTATCGGTTGTTTGCCGCTCGCCGTTCCAGGTTTGGTTCCAAAACGCCCGAGCCAAGTTCAGACGCAACCTGCTGAGGCAGGAGAGTGGGGGCGGGGCATCCGTGCCAGGGGGTGGGGCATCCGTGCCAGGGGGCGGGGCTTCAGCGTCGGGGGGCGGGGCGTCGGGTCATGAGGGCGGAGCCTCGTCGATTGGGGGCGTGGCCTCGGCTCTAGGAGGCGGGGCCATGGGCTCACAGTGTCCAGGTGAGGGGGGGGTGACTTGCCCCGAAAGTGTGAGAGCGCGTGTGTGTCTGTGTGTATGTGTGTCTGTGTGTGTGTGTCTGTGTGTGTGTGTGGGGGGGGGTGTGTCTGTGTGTCTGTGTGTGTGAGTGTGTGTGTGGGGGTGTGTCTGTGTGTGTCTGTGTGTGTCTGTGTGTGTGTGTCTGTGTGTGTCTGTGTGTGTGTCTGTGTGTCTGTGTGTGTCTGTGTGTGTGTGTGTCTGTGTGTGTCTGTGTGTATGTGTCTGTGTGTGTCTGTGTGTGGTTTCTGTGTGTGTGTCTGTGTGTGTCTGTGTGTGTGTCTGTGTGTGTGTTTGTGTGTCTGTGGGTGTGTGTGTGTATGTGTGTGTGTCTGTGTGTCTGTGGGTGTGTGTGTGTCTGTGGGGGGTGTGTGTGTGTGTTTGTTTGTGTGTGTGTGTGTGTGTGTCTGTGGGTGTGTGTCTGTGGGGGGGGGGTGTGTGTCTGTGTGTGGGTGTGTCTGTGTGTGTGTCTGTGTGTGTGTCTGTGTGTTTGTCTGTGGGTGTGTGTGTGTCTGGGGGGGGGTGTCTGTGGCTGTGTGTGTGGGTGTGTCTGTGTGTGTGTGGGGGTGTGTGTGTGGGGGGGGGGTGTGTCTGTTTGTGTGTGTGTCTGTGTGTGTGTCTGTGTGGGTGTGTATGTGTGTGTGGGTGTCTGTGTGTGCGTGTGTCTGTGTGGGGAGCGGTGGGTGTAGTGGTTAGCGGTACGCTGCACTACGAACCTGGCGACCCGAGTTCGACTCCCGCTCACGGCCAACACCACCGGCGCCGACTACCTGAACCGGTCCTGGGCCTCCCCTAGGTCGACTCAGCCTCAAATGAGTACCTGGTGTAGCGGAGTAGTGTAGTCAACGTCGCTAGCACTGGGGAGACAAAGGCGGCCGGGCGTGGTGCTGGCCACCCACCCCCTCTGTGTGTAGCCACAGTGCCGGTAGCCTTCATAGGCGCTCGCTAACAGCACTTGCCCCTACAGCCTGTTAGAGGCTACACGGGGGATCTTTGTCTTTGTGGTCAAACCACGACCATAACCTGTAGCAGGGCTTGGGGCCAAATCGTCATCATCAAAGCTCCCCCAGGTAGCCTCTAGCAGGGCTGTAGGGGCAAGTGCTGTTAGTAGCGAGTAGCAGCAGCAGTGTCTATGTACTACACACACCGCACACAGACAAAGCTACCCCCAGGTAGCCTCTAGCAGGGCTGTAGGGGCAAGTGCTGTTAGTAGCGAGTAGCAGCAGCAGTGTCTATGTACTACACACACCGCACACAGACAAAGCTACCCCCAGGTAGCCTCTAGCAGGGCTGTAGGGGCAAGTGCTGTTAGTAGCGAGTAGCAGCAGCAGTGTCTATGTACTACACACACCGCACACAGACAAAGCTACCCCCAGGTAGCCTCCAGCAGGGCTGTAGGGGCAAGTGCTGTTAGTAGCGAGTAGCAGCAGCAGTGTCTATGTACTACACACACCGCACACAGACAAAGCTCCCCCAGGTAGCCTCTAGCAGGGCTGTAGGGGCAAGTGCTGTTAGTAGCGAGTAGCAGCAGCAGTGTCTATGTACTACACACACCGCACACAGACAAAGCTACCCCAGGTAGCCTCTAGCAGGGCTGTAGGGGCAAGTGCTGTTAGTAGCGAGTAGCAGCAGCAGTGTCTATGTACTACACACACCGCACACAGACAAAGCTACCCCCAGGTAGCCTCTAGCAGGGCTGTAGGGGCAAGTGCTGTTAGTAGCGAGTAGCAGCAGCAGTGTCTATGTACTACACACACCGCACACAGACAAAGCTACCCCCAGGTAGCCTCTAGCAGGGCTGTAGGGGCAAGTGCTGTTAGTAGCGAGTAGCGGCAGCAGTGTCTATGTACTACACACACCGCACACAGACAAAGCTACCCCCAGGTAGCCTCTAGCAGGGCTGTAGGGGCAAGTGCTGTTAGTAGCGAGTAGCAGCAGCAGTGTCTATGTACTACACACACCGCACACAGACAAAGCTACCCCCAGGTAGCCTCTAGCAGGGCTGTAGGGGCAAGTGCTGTTAGTAGCGAGTAGCGGCAGCAGTGTCTATATCAAACTAAAACTACGTTCATTTTGCCAGGCAAGGCCGACTGAACCTTATATCCAGGCGACCACATGGAGATAGAAACAGATAGAGACACAGACTCAAAATATACAGCAGCAACCATCGTCAGGGTCGGGATCCAACCCACGACCTCCTGTATACCAGGCGAGGTAGTCAACATCTCTGAGTCACCATGATGATGATAATGAGAGACGCAGACTCCAAATATACAGCAGCAAGCATCGTCAGGATCGGGATCCAACCCACGACCTCCTGTATACCAGGCGAGGTAGTCAACATCTCTGAGTCACCATGATGATGATGATGATTAGAGACGCAGACTCCAAATATACAGCAGCAGGCATCGTCAGTGTCGCGATCGTACCCACGACCTCTGTACACCAAGCGAGGTAGTCAACATCTCCTAGCCACCGTGATGATGATGATAAGAGACGCAGACTCCAAATATACAGCAGCAGCAGGCATCGTCAGGGTCGCGATCGCACCCACGACCTCCTGTAGACCAGGCGAGGTAGTCAACATCTCCTAGCCACCGTGATGACCAGTCGGGCAGCATTATCGGCTGCGTAACGCTGCTGTGTGGTAGATACCTGGTCTGTCGCTCCACACGAAGCTTAGAATCTTCACAGCCACAGTCATGTCATCTCTTCTCTACGCTTGCGAAATGTGAACCCCTTGAATAGAACACCTGCGCCGGTTAGAAACATTCAGGCTGGCACTGCCTACGATCCATCCTGGGTTTAACCAGCAGGCTGGATTGTGTGCGGAGCTCACAAATCCTTGAAAGATCTGGACGAAGTCCCATCGGTGAGCTCCTCCGGCAGGCAAGGCTGCGTTGGCTGGGTCATGTAGCCCGCATGCCCAGCCACCGCATGCCTAAACAGCTTTTGTTCGGCCGGATCGAGGGGGTTAAACGGGCACGGCACCGGCTAGAGAAGAGATGGAGTGACGTGGTACAGGAGGACGTGGAGCTGAGTGGACTTGCCGATGACCGGTACCAGCGGTGTCAAGATCGGCCTCTGTGGAGGAGGCTCGTGAAGGACGCTACTGGGCAGTTGGAGGCAGTCGCCCTCCAACAACAACGGAGGGCGGAGGAGCGACGCTCACAACAACGAGCGGAGCGCCGGGTGGCTAAAGCACAGCGAGTTGGCACAGTAGGGGGCACAGGTGGTGCATCGGCCACTCATCTCATTTGGTTAACCCGTAACACCTGCTGGGTCTGCCCCGTGACCTCCTCCTCGTGCACCTAGCCTGGCACAGCAGTCAACCCATGGCACCTGCTGGGTCTGCCCCGTGACCTCCTCCTCATGCACCTAGCCTGGCACAGCAGTCAACCCATGGCACCTGCTGGGTCTGTCCCGTGACCACCTCCTCCTCCTGCACCTAGCCTGGCACAGCAGTCAACCCATGGCACCTGCAGGGTCTGTCCCGTGACCTCCTCCTGCACCTAGCCTGGCACAGCAGTCAACCCACGGCACCTGCAGGGTCTGTCCCGTGACCTCCTCCTCCTGCACCTAGCCTGGCACAGTAGTCAACCCATGGCACCTGCAGGGTCTGTCCCGTGACCTCCTCCTCGTGCACCTAGCCTGGCACAGCAGCCAACCCATGGCACCTGCTGGGTCTGTCCCGTGACCTCCTCCTCCTGCACCTAGCCTGGCACAACAGTCAACCCATGGCATCTGCTGGGTCTGTCCCGTGACCTCCTCCTCCTGCACCTAGCCTGGCACAGCAGTCAACCCATGGCACCTGCTGGGTCTGTCCCGTGACCTGTGGGGGGGGGGGGGGGTGGTGAGGGTCGTGGGGGGGGGGTGGTGGCGGGGGTGGTGGGTGGTGGTGGTGGGGGGTGGTGGTGGGGGGTGGTGGGGGGTGGTGGGGGGTGGTGGTGGGGGGTGGTGGGGGGTGGTGGTGGGTGGACCGCTGTCCTCTGTCTTTGTCCACGTGACCACATCGTAGGCATGGGCGGAGCCTCGGAACACCTTCCCAGCATGCACGGCGGCGGCGGAGGTGGCGGAACCGTGGGAGAAACTTCGAGAAACATCCTCAACAACAACATCAACATTAACAACAACAACATCAGCAACATCAACAACAACAACAACAGCGGCGGTGTTGGTGTTGGTGGTGGTGGCGGCTGCCCCAAACTGCCCGGCCGTGACGTCACGTGCTCCCCTCCACCTGCCCACGTGATCGCCCAGCCAATGGCGGCCCTGCAGCTCCATCCGGGCCTCGGCGGTAACCAGGGGGCGGGGCTCGGCGGTAACCAGGGGGCGGGGCTCGGTAACCAGGGGGCGGGGCTCGGCGGTAACCAGGGGGCGGGGCTCGGTAACCAGGGGGCGGGGCTCGGCAATCACGGGGCGGGGCTCGGTAACCATGGGGCGGGGCTCGGTAACCAGGGAGCGGGGCTTGGCGGTATCCAGGGGGCGGGGCTGGCGGAAGTGGGCGGGCCCCAGGGCCCCGTCGCGGTGGCTTCTGGGGGAAGCTCTGCGACACGGAGCCCCGCGGCGACCATCACGGACCTCTTCTGACGTCACAGGCGGTGACGTCATCGTCGACGTCATCAACATCAATACCGCAATCATCGTCACCAGCAGTAGCATCAGCAACATCATCGTCAGCATCATCATCATCAGCAACATCGTCATCAGTAGCAGCAATATCATCAACAACATCAGCATCAATATCATAATATCATCCACATCAACATCATCATCATAATCAATATCATCCACATCAACATCATCATCATAATCAATATCATCCACATCAACATCATCATCATAATCAATATCATCCACATCAACATCATCATCATAATCAATATCATCCACATCATCATCATAATCAATATCATCCACATCAACATCATCATCATAATCAATATCATCCACATCAACATCATCATCATAATCAATATCATCCACATCAACATCATCATCATAATCAATATCATCCACATCAACATCATCATCATAATCAATATCATCCACATCAACATCATCATCATAATCAATATCATCCACATCAACATCATCATCATAATCAATATCATCCACATCAACATCATCATCATAATCAATATCATCCACATCAACATCATCATCATAATCAATATCATCCACATCAACATCATCATCATAATCAATATCATCCACATCAACATCATCATCATAATCAATATCATCCACATCAACATCATCATCATAATCAATATCATCCACATCAACATCATCATCATAATCAATATCATCCACATCAACATCATCATCATAATCAATATCATCCACATCAACATCATCATCATAATCAATATCATCCACATCAACATCATCATCATAATCAATATCATCCACATCAACATCATCATCATAATCAATATTATCTTCATCAGCATCAATATCATCATCATCATGGTCATCATTGTGATCGTGATGATGATCGTGACGGTGATGGTGATTGTGATGATTATAGTGTATTGATGATCGTGACGATGATGATCGTGATGATGATGATAATGAAGATGATCGTGATCATGATGATAATCATGACCATTGTGATAATGTAGAGGATGATGATTGTGGTGATGTAGATAAAGATGATGATCGTGATGATGCAGGTGATGATGATCGTGATATGATGATTATACTGTAACGATGATCGTGAAGATGATGATGATGACCATCGTGATGATGTAGAGGATGATGATTGTGGTGATGTAGTTGATGATGATGATGATTATCCTGTAATGATGATCGTGATTATGATGATGTATCCATGAAGATGTATCCATGATGCTGATGTACCCATGATGTATCCATGACGATGTATCCATGATGATGGTGATGATGTACCCATTACAATGATGATGATACTGTAACTATGTGAGTCATGGTGATGATGGTGATGATCGTGATGATGGTGATGATGCTGGTGGTGATGATGGTGATGATGATGGTGATGATGATGGTGATGATGGTTATGATGATGATGGTGATGATGATGATGATTGTGATGATGATGGTGATGATGGTGATGATGGTTATGATGATGATGGTGATGATGATGATTGTGATGATGATGATGCTGGTGGTGATGATGGTGATGATGATGGTGATGATGATGATGGTGATGATGGTTATGATGATGATGGTGATGATGATGATGGTGATGATGATGGTGATGATGGTGATGATCGTGATGATGGTGATGATGATGATGGTGATGATGGTGATGATGATGGTGATGATGATGGTGATGATGATGATGGTGATGATGATGATTGTGATGATGATGATGATGGTGATGATGATGGTGATGATGGTGATGATCGTGATGATGGTGATGATGATGATGATGGTGATGATCGTGATGATCGTGATGATGTGAGTCATGATGATGATGGTGATGATGGTGATGATGATGGTGATGATGGTGATGATCGTGATGATGGTGATGATGATGGTGATGATACTGTAACGATGTGAGTCATGCTGATGGTGATGATGGTGATGATGGTGATGATGATGGTGATGATGGTGATGATCGTGATGATGTGAGTCATGATGATGATGGTGATGATGGTGATGGTGATGATGGTGATGATGTAAACAACATGTACCACCAAACCCTGCAGCCATAGCTGGCTGCATGAGTCACTCCACAACAGCAGCAGGAGCATCAGTCGGAGTATCAACATTTTTCAATGCACCTTTAAGATCAGCGCACTAAATCAAAACACAGGTCATACTTTGCATGCGACTTCCCGCGGTCACGAAAGCCTCAAGTCAAATCGAAGATCGGATTTGTGATCGCGGGCTACTGAGGCTGACTCCATGTCAAACATAATTTGTAGCTTTTGTGACTGCAGGAATGACTATGTGGTTCTTTCGGTAAAATACTAGCACGCGACGTTTCGATTGCAACACAAGCAATCGTCATCAGGTATAAATGAAATAGAAACACAAATCTGGTATACTTAGACATGTAATGTAACACAACAGAGAGTCGGATAACATAACAGTCAACACCCTACCTATACACTACTATACATTACACTATACCCTACACTATTCACTACTACACTACACTATACACTACTACAACAGAGAGTCGGATAACATAACAGTCAACACCCTACCTGGTTGATTACGTTCTTCCTGAGAATGCTAAATTTGAGAGAGAGATAAAACACAGAACCAGAGACATATAGACAGACACATAAGCAGAGACAGATATCACAGAGATACATAGAGAGAGAGACGTATATAGGCACACAAAGAAACCACGCCTCTGTGTCGAGGCATTAAATAGAGAGAGGTTAGAGAAATTAGCATGTCAATGTAGAGACGGAGGGGTTAGAGGAATTAGCATGTCAATGTAGAGAGGGCGGGGTTAGAGAAATTAGCATGTCAATATAGAGACGGAGGGGTTAGAGGAATTAGCATGTCAATGTAGAGACGGAGGGGTTAGAGAAATTAGCATGTCAATGTAGAGACGGAGGGGTTAGAGAAATTATCATGTCAATGTAGAGAGGGCGGGGTTAGAGAAATTAGCATGTCAATGTAGAGAGGGCAGGGTTAGAGAAATTAGCATATCAATGTAGAGAGGGCGGGGTTAGAGAAATTAGCATATCAATGTAGAGAGGGCGGGGTTAGAGAAATTAGCATGTCAATTTAGAGAGGGCGGGGTTAGAGAAATTAGCATGTCAATGTAGAGAGGGCGGGGTTAGAGAAATTAGCATGTCAATGTAGAGAGGGCAGGGTTAGAGAAATTAGCATATCAATGTAGAGAGGGCGGGCTTAGAGAAATTAGCATGTCAATGTAGAGAGGGCGGGGTTAGAGAAATTAGCATGTCAATTTAGAGAGGGCGGGGTTAGAGAAATTAGCATGTCAATGTAGAGAGGGCGGGGTTAGAGAAATTAGCATGTCAATGTAGAGACGGAGGGGTTAGAGAAATTAGCATGTCAATGCAGAGAGGGCGGGGTTAGAGAAATTAGCATGTCAATGTAGAGACGGAGGGGTTAGAGAAAGTAGCATGTCAATGTAGAGACGGAGGGCTTAGAGAAATTAGCATGTCAATGTAGAGAGGGCGGGGTTAGAGAAATTAGCATGTCAATGTAGAAAGGGAGGGGTTAGAGGAATTAGCATGTCAATGTAGAGAGGGCGGGGTTAGAGAAATTAGCATGTCAATGTAAAGAGGGCGGGGTTAGAGAAATTAGCATGTCAATGTAGAGAGGGCGGGGTTAGAGAAATTAGCATGTCAATGTAGAGAGGGCGGGGTTAGAGAAATTAGCATGTCAATGTAAAGAGGGCGGGGTTAGAGAAATTAGCATGTCAATGTAGAGAGGGCGGGGTTAGAGAAATTAGCATATCAATGTAGAGAGGGCAGGGTTAGAGAAATTAGCATGTCAATGTAGAGAGGGCGGGGTTAGAGAAATTAGCATGTCAATGTAGAGAGGGCGGGGTTAGAGGAATTAGCATGTCAATGTAGAGACGGAGGGGTTAGAGGAATTAGCATGTCAATGTAGAGACGGAGGGGTTAGAGAAATTAGCATGTCAATGTAGAGAGGGCGGGGTTAGAGGAATTAGCATGTCAATATAGAGACGGAGGGGTTAGAGAAATTAGCATGTCAATGTAGAGACGGAGGGGTTAGAGGAATTAGCATGTCAATGTAGAGACGGAGGGGTTAGAGAAATTAGCATGTCAATATAGAGACGGAGGGGTTAGAGAAAGTAGCATGTCAATGCAGAGAGGGAGGGGTTAGAGGAATTAGCATGTCAATGTAGAGACGGGGGGGTTAGAGAAAGTAGCATGTCAATGCAGAGAGGGAGGGGTTAGAGAAATTAGCATGTCAATGTAGAGACGGGGGGGTTAGAGAAAGTAGCATGTCAATGTAGAGAGGGCGGGGTTAGAGAAATTAGCATGTCAATGTGGAGAGGACGGGGTTAGAGAAATTAGCATGTCAATGTAGAGAGGGAGGGGTTGGAGAAATTAGCATGTCAATGTAGAGAGGGCGGGGTTAGAGAAATTAGCATGTCAATATAGAGACGGAGGGGTTAGAGAAAGTAGCATGTCAATGCAGAGAGGGAGGGGTTAGAGGAATTAGCATGTCAATGTAGAGACGGAGGGGTTAGAGAAATTAGCATGTCAATGTAGAGACGGGGGGGTTAGAGAAAGTAGCATGTCAATGCAGAGAGGGAGGGGTTAGAGAAATTAGCATGTCAATGTAGAGAAGGCGGGGTTAGAGAAATTAGCATGTCAATGTAGAGACGGAGGGGTTAGAGAAATTAGCATGTCAATGTAGAGAAGGCAGGGTTAGAGAAATTAGCATGTCAATGTGGAGAGGGCGGGGTTAGAGAAATTAGCATGTCAATGTAGAGAGGGCGGGGTTAGAGAAATTAGCATGTCAATGTAGAGAGGGCGGGCTTAGAGAAATTATCATGTCAATGTAGAGAGGGCGGGCTTAGAGAAATTAGCATGTCAATGTAGAGACGGAGGGGTTAGAGAAATTAGCATGTCAATGTAGAGAGGGCGGGGTTAGAGAAATTAGCATGTCAATGTAGAGACGGAGGGGTTAGAGGAATTAGCATGTCAATGTAGAGAGGGCGGGGTTAGAGGAATTAGCATGTCAATGTAGAGACGGAGGGGTTAGAGGAATTAGCATGTCAATGTAGAGAGGGCGGGGTTAGAGAAATTAGCATGTCAATGTAGAGAGGGCGGGGTTAGAGAAATTAGCATGTCAATGTAGAGAGGGCGGGGTTAGAGAAATTAGCATGTCAATGTAGAGAGGGCGGGGTTAGAGAAATTAGCATGTCAATGTAGAGAGGGCGGGGTTAGAGAAATTAGCATGTCAATGTAGAGAGGGCGGGGTTAGAGAAATTAGCATGTCAATGTGGAGAGGGCGGGGTTAGAGAAATTAGCATGTCAATGTAGAGACGGAGGGGTTAGAGAAATTAGCATGTCAATGTAGAAAAGGCGGGGTTAGAGAAATTAGCATGTCAATTTAGAGCAGGAGGGGTTAGAGAAATTAGCATGTCAATGTAGAGAGGGCGGGGTTAGAGAAATTAGCATGTCAATGTAGAGAGGGCGGGGTTAGAGAAATTAGCATGTCAATGTAGAGAGGGCGGGGTTAGAGAAATTAGCATGTCAATGTAGAGACGGAGGGGTTAGAGAAATTAGCATGTCAATGTAGAGAGGGCGGGGTTAGATGAATTAGCATGTCAATGTAGAGAGGGCGGGGTTAGAGAAATTATCATGTCAATGTAGAGAGGGAGGTGTTAGAGAAATTAGCATGTCAATGTAGAGAGGGCGGGGTTAGATGAATTAGCATGTCAATGTAGAGAGGGCGGGGTTAGAGAAATTAGCATGTCAATGTAGAGAGGGCGGGCTTAGAGAAATTATCATGTCAATGTAGAGAGGGAGGTGTTAGAGAAATTAGCATGTCAATGTAGAGAGGGCGGGCTTAGAGAAATTATCATGTCAATGTAGAGAGGGCAGGCTTAGAGAAATTAGCATGTCAATGTAGAGACGGAGGGGTTAGAGAAATTAGCATGTCAATGTAGAGAGGGCGGGGTTAGAGAAATTAGCATGTCAATGTAGAGAGGGCGGGGTTAGAGAAATTAGCATGTCAATGTAGAGAGGGCGGGGTTAGAGAAATTATCATGTCAATGTAGAGAGGGCGGGCTTAGAGAAATTAGCATGTCAATGTAGAGACGGAGGGGTTAGAGAAATTAGCATGTCAATGTAGAGACGGAGGGGTTAGAGGAATTAGCATGTCAATGTAGAGAGGGCGG